ACCTCATTATAGAAAAATTCTAAATTCCTGGCAGTGGATTCATCATATCTTCAGAAGAAGTATCCATGCACTGTCACTGTCATTCATTCTTGTCCATTCGTCTGTTGTCAGGTTTCAGCCTTTTTCTCCCAACTCAACCCCCTCCCCCTGTTTAGCTAATGAATGACCAATAACCAGAAGTCTTGCTGATGTCACAGAGTGGCGGGAAACAGTTGCCAGGAAGCCACCTCATGGCCTCAGAAGCTAAGGACCTATATCAGACCTCTCATTAGATATCTGAGAGTAGAGCACTATCTTTTATCATCCAAACAGACTGCTAAAATGAATTTGGTTGGGAATGTGGGTTTTGAGTTTCTCAATTTAGTACAATATCTGTTTGTTCTTCAGTGTGCATGCCACTGAGGCAAACAGACCTGTATTTGTTAAAGTTAAATTGGCTCTAAAATAATTTCAGATTGTCCAGATCGAAATAATGTGCATTTAGGTAGAGATTATCAGTACTGGAGGTTTACTTGAATAGAGCTTATCTCAGTATCCTGTTTATCTAGGCCTGAGCACTGCTGGCTGTCCCTGCACTGATGAGCTAGACCTGTCTCTGTATTTCTCTCTCTCTCTCTCTCTCTCTCTCTCTCTCTCTCTCTCTCTCTCTCTCTCTCTCTCTCTCACTCTTACACTCTCTCACTCACTCTCTCTCTCTCTTTCTTTCTCTCTCTCTCTCTCTCTCTCTGGTCGGACTACTGACGTTCTCTGTTCGGAGGCATCCCTCTTCCTAATAAGGACTAAAGCGATCTCTGCACTGATGTGTTTACCTAGCGTACTGTACACTGTTAGCTCTCACGTCTTCTCTATTGTCTGCAAAAGAGATTTATGATTCAGTGTTTTAAAATACTTACCCTTCGGCTTAATTTCAGGAGGATGTCATCGAACCCCAACTGTGTGTGTGTGTGTGTGTGTCTGTGTCTGTGTGTGTTTGTGTACCATGCGCGTGGGTTTGCGTGCAAGCGTGTGAGCAAGCAAGAGAGAGAAAGAGAGCAAATGTTTCTCTGTTTGCATCTTAACTCAATTCCAATCTTTTCTGCAGTGGGCAATATGAATGGGAGTGTTCTGAGTGTCTCTTAAATCAGTCCTCTTGGCGATGTACAATGGAGGACAACCTGGAAGTGTTTCACTGCCTCTTTTTATGTGGCTTTGGTGTTGTTCCTGCATGCTCGACTGATTCAGCTCAGATTAACATATGTCCTGTTCTCCCTCTCCTCTCTTTCTACACACAAAAAAATGCTTCTATATAGTGCCAAATAAAGGTTATTTGGCTTGTAACAGTAGCGGATCCCTTTTTGGTGCTATATAGAACCTTTTTTTGAAGGTTCTATAAAGAACCATGCCCATAAGGTTCTAAATTGAACTTTTTGGGTGATATAAAGAACAATGTCCTAAGGTTCTATAAATAACCATTAATTAAAGGTTATATATAGCACCAAAAAAGGGTTTTGCTATGGTTACAACCCTTTTTGGGGCTATATAGAACCCTTTTTAATGGTTCTTTATAGAACCTTTATGGAGAATGGTTCTATAAAGAACCATCCTTAATCTCAAAGGTTCTATAAAGAATCTTTTGAGTAATCATACAGGGTTTTCTATTCTGGTTAGTCATATTATATTGTTAGAGCAAGCAATGCAGATGTAGAAGCATGGTGGCTAAGACAAACTCCCTAGAAAGGCAGGAACCTAGGAAGAAACCTAGAGAGGAACCAGGCTCTGAGGGGTGGCCAGTCCTTTTCTGGCTTTTCCAGTTGGAGATTATAAGAGTACATGGCCATTAAGGCCAGATCGTTCTTCAAGATGTTCAAATGTTCATAGATTATCAGCAGGGTCAAATAATAATCACATTGGTTATAGAGGGTGCAACAGGTCAGCACCTCAGGAGTAAATGTCAGTTGGCTTTTCATAGCCAAGCATTCAGAGGTCAAGACAGCAGGTGCAGGGATTCCATAGGCAGAACAGCAGAATCTGGATCAGCAGCACGACCAGGTGGACTGGGGATGGGGACAGGGCCAACCAGGCAGGATATAACCCCACCTACTTTGCCAAAGCACAGCCCCCACACCAGCCCTCACACAGACCACTAACTTACTACCCTGAGACAAGGCTGAGTATAGCCCACAAAGATCTCCCCCACCGCGCAAGCCCGAGAACAGGAAGGATGGGAGAGCGTGAGCAAGCCAGTGACTCAGCCCCCATAATAGGGTCAGAGCCAGAAAATCCCAGTGGGGAGAGGGGAGCCATCCAGGCAAAGACAGCAAGGGTGATTTGTCACTCCAGTGCCTTGCCGTTCACCTTCGCACCCCTGGGCCAGACTACACTCAATCATAGGACCGTCTGAAGAGAGGAGTCTTTAGGAAATACTTAAAGGTTGAGACAGAGTCTGCGTCTCTCACATGTAGCTCTATAGGAGAAAGCCCCTAGCTGTTTGCTTAGACATTCTAGGAACAATAAGAAGGCCTGCGTCTTGTGACCGTAGCGTACGTGTAGGTATGTACAGCAGGACCAAATCGGCGAGATGGGTAAGAGCAAGTCCATGTAATGTTGGAGGTTAGCAAGTGGGCAAACCTTGAAATCAGCCCTAGCCTTAACAGGAAGCCAGTGTAGAGGGGCTAGCACTGGAGTAATACGATAACATTTTTGGTTCTAGACTAGATTCTAGCAGCTGTATTTAGCACTAGCTGAAGTTTATATAGTGCCTTGTTCGGTTAGCCGGAGAGTAGAGCATTGCAGTAGTGTAATCTTGAAGTGATAAAAGCATGGATTAGTTTTTCTGCATACTTTTTTGACAAAAAGTTTCAGATTTTTGCAATGTTAACGAAGATGGAAAAAGGCTGCTCTTGAAATATTGTTTATGTTTGTCAAAAGAGAGATCAGGGTCCAGAGTAATGCTGAGGTCCTTCAAAGTTTTATTTGAGACGATTGTGCAACCATCAAGATTGATTGTCAGATCCGACAGCAGATCTCTTTGTTTCTTTGGACCTAGAACTAGCATATCTGTTTAAGAGTAAAGAAATTACCGCAATCCACTTCCTTATGTCTGAAACTTGAAACCTTCCAGGGTAGGCAATTTTGGGGCTTCACCATGTTTAATCGAAATGTACAGCTGTGTGTCGTCTGCATAGCAGTGAAAGTTGACATTGTGTTTCCGAATGACATCACCAAGATGTAGCATATGCAGTGCCTTCGAAAAGTATTCAGACCCATTGATCTTTTCCACATTTTGTTACATTTTTTTACTTCTTTTTTTTAAACGTTACAGTACTATTCTAAAATTGATTAAATTGTTTTATTTCCTCATCAATCTACACACAATACCCCATAATGACAAAGCAAAAACAGGTTTTTGAGCTAATTTATGAAAAAAATACAACGGCAATATAAAATGTACATAAGTATTCAGACCCTTTGGCAGCGATAACAGCATAGAGTCTTTTTGGGTATGACGCTACAAGCTTGGCACACCTGTATTTGGGGAGTTTCTCCCATTCTTCTCTGCAGATCCTCTCAAGCTCTGTACAGGTTGGATGGGGAGCGTTGCTGCACAGCTATTTTCAGGTCTCTCCAGAGATATTTGATCAGGTTTAAAGTCCAGGCTGGGCCACTCAAGGACATTCAGAGACCTGTCCCGAAACCACTCCTGCGTTGTCTTGGCTGTGTGCTTAGGGTCGTTGTCCTGTTGGAAGGTGAACCTTCGCCACATTTTGAGGTCCTGAGAGCTCTGGAGCAGGTTTTCATCAAGGATCTCTCTGTACTTTGCTCCGTTCATCTATCCCTCAATCCTGACTAAGGTGCTTCAACAGAGTACTGAGGAAAGTGTCTGAATACTTACGGAAATGTGATATTTCCGGGTTTTTTTAAAAATACATTTGCAAACATTTCTAAAAACCTGTTTTTGCTTTGTCATTATGGGGTATTGTGTGTAGATTGATGAGAAAATGTTTTCATTTAATCCATTTTAGAATAAGGCTGTAACATAATCACTTTTCTCGAATGCAATGTATGTGTAGCCGATGTATCTGATGCTGTCTGGCCAAAAAGAGTATGGCATGTCATACTCTTTTTTGGCCAGACAGCATCAGATACATGGGCTACGTATACGAAGACAGAGGGACGCTGTTTCGCCTGCTCTGATGCTTTCTCCGGTGAGATAGTTTCAGCCACTTGCGAATTGAAGGAAGGTTGGTGGGTGCACAGTGCACTATTCGAATGCTGGAATTATTTTGGATGTACGTGCGAAGGTAACCTACCTTTTGAAGAATGTCCTCTGCCTGGGGCCTCCAAATCACTAAGTCCGCCCCTGCAAGTAATGACAGAAGAGAAGATACATGTAGGCCTATCTAATTATGGACAAGTTGGTTAACAAATAGCCTACCAGATGTTGGAAATTATATGCAGAAAAATATCAGAAATAGAGGTGACAGTAGCCTGAGGAGGCAAAGATGACTGGCCAGGACCGTGACGCGCGCGGACATCAGTGGATGCATCAATTATAGTGACGCATGCCAGATACTTACAACGCCTGTATAGGTATTTTACGTATCAGCGCAGGTGCATGCAACGTCTGAGCAGGGTAACACGACCATAGAGTGGATCAAACGTGCGCAGGTAGCCCATTTTTTAAAGTGATTTGTTTGACAATCATGCCTGGCTGTGTTCATACCATATTAAAAGGTAATACATTTTTACAGTTAAATGACATATCTTTACTCTTATACCATAAATAAATTGTGCATGGAGGTCCCACACCCCCTGTCAAAACATATTTCCACCGTCTCTTATTACTGTCAGTTTCGACTATATCCCAGCCTATTCCTGCCTAGAAACAAACTGCTGCTCAAACTTCCTGGTCTCCCATGATGGCCCAAAAAAAGCTGACTACTATGCTGTAAATTAATGCATTTTTTCTCAAATATGCTTTGTTTTACAATAACTCTCTCTCTGGCTTTCTTTTGTTCCAGGGCTGTCCAACAGAGGGCAGTGTGAGATTTGAACAATCCCACAGTAAGTTTCATTTTCTTATTTTTCTCATATCTCTCATTATACTGCATAGCTCAGTTCTGTGGTCACATAAGGCTTTAGTGATGTTTAGGGTCTTCAATCCTACCCTTGATCACAATGCCTGTTCATTTGGTTGAGTGTAATGATCAAGTTAATTTGATCATTGCAGCAGCTTACTCACACCAGAAATAGGACTATCATATGTTACAACACTCTAACCATAAATTCTAGTCAATCAACTAAGCATTGAGAGACAAGCAAAAGCAATGAACAACAACAAAAGTGCTATTTTATGAGGGAGGGCTGACATACAGTAGGCTACATGTTAGCGTGGGCAGAGTTAGAGATGGCATGCATTTGCGGCATTGACAGTTTAGGGGAAGGGGACACACAAATGCTGTCTACTCATCAGAGGGAAAGTTGCATGGTAACATGCAATATTTCATCACCATTCTGTATGTGATGTAGTTTACACATGGTTGATATTCCAGTAAAATAATAATCCGCAACATCTGTTACTGTACACTTATAGCTCTGTTCTCTGTAGTCAAAAGTACAGTGGTCCACTGTCCTTTATGTTTCCAAAGGTCATTGTTACAGCAGTGTGCCACTATCTGTTACTATCATCTCCTTCCTGCAATCTGTCTTCCAGCTCCACTTTCCCCACTTTGTCAACACTTCACCTCGCTGTTATTTGTCTCAAATTATGGGTGTTTTTCCTTTCATGAGGATGTTGTGTATGTAGTAACATGTCTACAATGTTAAGTATTGCAGTGCTCATCAGCCCCAAATTCCCCCAAATCTGTTGTATAACACAAAAAGACAGGGGTATACTATTTGGCTTACCCCTTTCTTGGTAAGGGTCAGGTACATTTATTTGTATTTTTATGATTACACCCAGGGATCGAATGGAGGGGTGTGAGATGGGATGGTATCTCTCTTGTTAACAAAAAATATATAGTGCATCTCTCTTGTTAAACTTTTACTGCAGTGGGCTAAATCAGTCACACAGAGTGATTCCTTGGTAGTCTTCAACAAATCTACTTTGAAATAAAAGTATACACCTCACACACATGGTTATGGGCTTAAAAAGATAAGACAAATGTACAGTACAATGTCAGATATAGAGTTTAAATGTATTATATTTTGAGTGCCCAATATTACACTTTATATACATCACAGATGACAGAAATGTTACAAAACTGTTTGACATAGAGATACCGGATTTTCATTAGTTTTTTTTTAAATAATCTTAATTAATTATGAAATTATGTAAAATATTAATAACATTCCACCCATGAGGCCAAAGAGGGCGCTTTTGGTCATTGACTACAGGAAAGGGCTACCTTGATTTTGACCATTAATACACTTAACACCCCTCCCTGCCAATGCAACTATATACTATTCCTCCTGTTCACTTTTCACAATTTGTCCCCAGCTTACACCTGTACACTGTCTGTTGTTTTGGTAGCTCCTCCGGTCTCCTCAGGTCCTCGCTGTTTGTCTGCAGTCAGAATCACCCCTCTGACAAGCATGAAAGGCTCTCCTGACCTAATTCCAGCTGCAGGTGAACACACTCATTGACTCCTCCACCCCTCCACTCCTCCGTCTCGTTTAACTTTCATCAGCCTGTACTCTAGGACACCTCTGATACACTGGATATGCCGAGGAGGATCCTTTCAATACTCACTTGCTAACAATGTGCATTCACTTTAAACAACAGTAAGCTATTATAATAAATAATATGCCATTTAGCAGACGCAGACGTGCATACATTTTTGTGTATGGGTGGTCCCAGGGATCCAACCAACTACCCTGGCGTTACAAGCGCCGTGCTCTACCAGCTGAGCTACAGAGGACCACAAGTATTAGTATGGGAGTATTAGTGTTGGCCTGGATTTGACATTTACATTCTATTTTTATACTTTGCGGTAACATGGATTCCCTCAGGAACTGAGGCAATAGAGCTGTGTCTCATGGTGATTTGACGCTCACTGAGAATAGATTCAAACAGTGTATAATTGTGAGGATGTTTCACACATTTTGGCATTGAAGAATGAGTGACTATGGGCATCCAATGTAAGAATCGAGTGATAACATCCTTGCATGTACCTGTCTATCTGTCTGTAGAGCTGGACCCTACAAGGGTGTGTAAAGGGAAGGGGGTCGTGACTCTGAGGGCCACTCTGGTCCACATAGACGATGAGGACTGTGTCAGTGAAGAATCCAATGTCGAAACAGCACCAAGTAAGTCAAACAGAACGCTACAGCTGCTCTCAAATCAAATCGTAGATATTACATCATATGTACAGTATATCTAATATCTCTGATATTATATAGAGTTTTCTTTCTAATACAGAGTCGAGTGATACGCTAGCATAGCTCTGTGAAAGTGGGCAAGTTAGAGGGCTGATGTCTAGCTGGATTAATAGCTGATGAGACAAACTATTTAAAAGTGGAAGGAAATGTTCCCGTTAACAAAATAACATATTGTAATATATTGATTATGTCATAGTATGAATCACTAACATTAATGACTATTTAGTCATTTGTTTTCCATAGTGATCTTGATGGATTTTGAGAAGAATTCACTGTATTCCCAAGCTTTTCTGTTCATAGAAGTCTTTATTTTATTTTATTTTTGTCATTTTTAGCAGATGCTCTTATCCAGAGCGACTTACATGAGCAATTAGGGTTAAGTGCCTTGCTCAAGGGCACATCGACAGATTTTTCACCTAGTCTGCTCAGGGATTAGAACCAGCAACATTTCAGTTACTGGCACAACGTTCTTAACCACTAAGCTACCAAGTCTTAAAATGTTTGAGATACTTCATGAAGTTCAGCTGGACTCACTTATACCCATATTTCAGTATGTTTTGATATTAAAGTGAGATAACTTGACACATTTTTAAGTGTATTTATATTTGGTTTCCCAGCACAACACAGAATCATTGACCATGATTGCTCATATTTTCATGTGTTTCGTCAAAGACCCCTTTTGTTCGGACCTGCCCACTGCACTTTGGAAAATGTATGAGCCTTGACTGTGGACTTGTTTGTTGCGTTCAGCACGTTAGAACTGGGCTGGAGATTGGCCAAGGCTTTTGGGAAGATGCTTTAATTGCGAGCCTGAATATAAAGGCCATTGGAACAAACAGCCTTTACAGACCACTGAATAGGCGCCTTGTTCTGATAACAAAGTTCACAGATTGTGGGAGAATCATTATTTTATTTCTCCATGGGGATATTAGCATCTCTGTACGGGAAAAGCACTATGGGAAGCTTTTTGTCCCCGCAGGATTATCCAGTGATTTATTTAATTGAGGATTAATTGTTTCCTGTTTGTAGTTTGGTGATCAACTTTGAAACAGGTTGATCACCAAAAGACAAACATTGCCAAGAGTACAGTAGTTTGTTTGTGTATCTTTCAGTATTGTTAGGTTTCTGAGAGGATCGTCTTGCACTGCTATTTGCTGGATTGTTTTGGGATCATTTCAGGTAGTTGGATCGGCCAGATCAATGGAGACAGCTCTCTAACAGGATTGACTGAGGGATGCTTCCACGACATCACAGCTGATTTACCTACAGTCAATAGAACTCAACTCCAGGTATGTATTATCTAATCAGTGAATAAGCTTTTGTTAATTTCCCCTATTTTTGGCATTTAGGGATAATACTGTAAATTGAATAATGCTATGCTTGTTTAATGTGATTAAAATCAGATTTAATTGTGATTTAAATAGCTCTATTTGGTGTATTTTTGCTGTTGAGTGTCAATTGTTATTATGTAAATGTAAATGTATTATGTATTTGCAAAACCAGAATTTATTAATACGCAACTTCTTGGCCTTTTTACTCATACTATCCAGTTTATTGTTATTATCCAAAACTTCTATAAGAGAGGAACAGCATCACTTACGAGTTTTATTCACTCATTACCAGGGAAATTATCCTGTGAGCACAGAAGAACACCAGCTTCCTGCCTCCTCTGACATTCAGAACCATATTACTTTGACAAAGGCCCCCTCTGCCTACCCATCCACCACCAACACTGTCAACCCAAACATAGTTCTGCTACAACACAACAGAGGTAAGCACTTCTGATTCTGGGTAGTACTATATGTGGGTTATGGGTGAAATTGCCATGCAAACAGTTGACCACACTGTGAAGGATGGACTCCATTGATTTGTTTAAATGGAAAGTTCAGACACTGAAAGCTTTTTTAAATCAAAAGTATGGAAAATCAGATAAATCAGGTACAACAATGCTTCAGTGTTGTCAAGGCGTCAGTGTAATGCGGTAGGACGAAGTCAGGCGCAGGACACAGAGCTAATCGAAAAATGTACTTTACTCGTAGGTATCTTAATGAACATACCTCCACGCAGGGAGGAACAAACCCGCTCACGTGTCACCCGCAAACCCGCTCACACAGTGTGAGCCAGAGGGTTAAATAAGGAAGACCTAATTACATGATGGGGAACAGGTGAGACCAATACAAACAAAACAAGTAGAACATAGAAACATGGATCGGTAGCAGCTAGTACTCCGGTGACGACGAACGCCGAAGCCTGCCCGAGCAAGGAGGAGGGGCAGCATCGGCTGAATTCGTGACAGTACCCCCCCCCCCCCCCCCCCCTGGAGCCGCGCGTCAGCCCCGGCCTCGGGGACGGCCAGGAGGACGCGGAACAGGGCGAGTCGGATGACGACGGTGAAATTCCCTCAACATGGAGGGATCGAGGATGTCCCTCCTAGGGACCCAGCACCGTTCCTCCGGACCGTACCCCTCCCACTCCACGAGATACTGCATGTCTCGAATCCAAGATGGAACGGACCGAGTACGCCGGTGCCCCCTCGATGTCCAGTGGGGGCGGAGGAACCTCCCGTACCTCAGACTCCTGGAGTGGACCAGCTACTACCGGCCTGAGGAGAGACACATGGAACGAGCGGTTAATACGGTAATTAGGAGGAAGCTGTAACCTATAACAAACCTTGTTCAATCTCCTCAGGACTTTAAATGGCCCCACAAACTCGCCTTTTGTCGCCTGATGGCCCGCTGCAGGCGTACATGGGCAGCGTTCCAGGTCTCTTCCAAGTGCCGAAACCACTCATCCACCGCAGGAGCCTCGATCTGGCTCTGATGCCAAGGTGCCAGGACCGGCTGATAACCTAACACACACTGAAACGGAGAAAGGTTAGTGGAGGAGTGGCGGAGTGAGTTTTGGGCCATCTCTGCCCAGGGGATAAAACCCGACCACTCCCTTGGCCGATCCTGGCAATAGGACCGCAGAAACCTACCCACATCCTGGTTAACTCTCTCCACCTGCCCATTACTCTCGGGGTGAAAACCTGAGGTCAGGCTGATCAAGACCCCCAGACGTTCCATGAATGCCCTACAGACCCTTGAGGTGAACTGGGGACCCCGATCCGATACAATATCCTCAGGTACCCCGTAGTGCCGTAGGGAGACCTGGCATAGGAATGAGACGGCAGGACTTTGAAAACCGATCCACAACGACCAGGATCGTGGTGTTCCCTTGTGAGGGGAGAAGGTCCGTAACAAAATCCACCGATAGGTGGGACCACGGCCGTTGTGGAACGGGTAGGGGTTGTAATTTCCCTCTGGGCAGGTGTCTAGGTGCCTTACACTGGGCGCACACCGAGCAGGAGGAAACATAAACCCTCACGTCCTTGGCTAAAGTGGGCCACCAGTACTTCCCACTAAGACAGTGCACTGTCCGACCGATGCCAGGATGACCAGAGGAGGGTGACGTGTGAGCCCAATAGATCAATCGATTGCGAACCTCGAGCGGCACGTACATGCGACACTGGGGGGGGAGTGGGCTCGGTACGTAACGCCCGCTCGATGTCCGCATCAACCTCCCACACCACCGGTGCCACCAGACACGACGCCAGAAGTGTGGGAGTGGGCTCATTGGACCTCTCCTCTGTGTCATACAGTCGGGACAGGGCGTCTGCCTTAGCGTTCTGGGAACCTGGTCTGTAAGAAAGAGTAAACACAAAACGAGTGAAGAACATGGCCCACCTTGCCTGGCGAGGGTTCAATCTCCTCGCCACCCGGATGTACTCCAGATTGCGGTGGTCAGTCAAAATGAGAAAAGGGTGTTTAGCCCCCTCAAGCCAATCCCTAAACACTTTCAGAGCTTTAACCACAGCTAACAGCTCCCGGTCCCCCACATCATAGTTGCGCTCCGCCGGGCTGAGCTTCTTCGAAAAGAAAGCACAGGGGCAGAGCTTTGGTGGCGTACCCGAGCGCTGAGACAGTACAGCTCCTATCCCAGCCTCGGACGCGTCCACCTCAACCTGGAATGCTAAGGAGGGATCCGGATGAGCCAGCACTGGAGCCGAGGTATACAGGTCCTTCAGGTGACCAAAAGCCCTGTCCGCCTCAGCTGACCACTGCAGACGCACCGGTCCCCCCTTCAGCAAGGAGGTAATGGGAGCCGCTACCTGACCAAAGCCCCGGATAAACCTCCGGTAGTAGTTGGCAAAACCCAAGAATTGCTGCACCTCCTTCACTGTGGTTGGAGTCGGCCAATTACGCACGGCCGAAATGCGGTCAATCTCCATCTCCACACCTGACGCAGACAGGCGGTGCCCTAGGAAGGAGATGGACTCTTGGAAGAACAGACATTTCTCCGCCTTCAGATACAGGTCATGCTCCAACAGTCGACTAAGCACCTGACGCACCAGGGACACATGCTCGGCCCGTGTAGCGGAGGATATGAGAATGTCATCAATATACACCACTACACCCTGTCTGTGCAGGTCCCTGAAAATCTCATCAACAAAGGATTGGAAGACTGATGGAGCATTCATCAACCCGTATGGCATGACGAGGTACTCATAGTGCCCAGAGGTGGTACTGAATGCTGTCTTCCACTCATCTCCCTCCCGGATACGCACCAGGTTGTACGCGTTCCTGAGATCCAATTTAGTAAAGAAGCGCGCCCTGTGCAATGACTCCGTCATACTAGCAATCAGAGGTAGTGGATAGCTGTACTTCACAGTGATCTGATTAAGACCACAGTAGTCAATGCACGGGCGTAAGCCCCCATCCTTCTTCTTCACAAAAAAGAAACTCGAGGAGACAGGGGAAGTGGAAGGCCGAATGTATCCCTGCCTCAGAGATTCGGTGACATATGTTTCCATAGCCGCCGTCTCCTCCTGTGACAGAGGATACATGTGACTCCGGGGAAGTGCAGCGCCTACCTGGAGGTTTATCGCACAATCCCCCTGTCGATGGGGTGGTAATTGAGTCGCCTTCTTTTTACAGAAGGCGAGAGCCAAATCTGCATATTCAGGCGGAATGTGCATGGTGGAAACCTGGTTTGGACTTTCCACCGTAGTTGCCCCTACGGAAACACCTACACACCTCCCCGAGCACTGACTTGACCATCCCTTGAGAGCCCTCTGTTGCCATGAAATAGTGGGGTCATGAGAGGTTAACCAGGGAAGCCCCAACACCACTGGAAACGCAGGAGAATCAATCAGATAGAGACTAATTTTTCCTCATGACCCTCCTGCGTCTTCATCCAGAGTGGAGCTGTGACCTCCCTAATCAGACCTGACCCTAAAGGGCGACTATCTAGGGAATGTACAGGGAAGGGTACATCAACAGGCACAATAGGAATCCCTAAACTACGGGAAAACTGACGATCAATAAAGTTCCCAGCTGCGCCTGAATCTAATAGCGCCTTATGCTGAGAATGAGGGGAAAACTCTGTAAATACAACATCTATACACATATGCGCAACAGGGAGCTCTGGGTGAGTCGGGTGCCTACTCACCTGAAACGGTCCACCAGTGTTCTGCCTACTGCCTCGACTCCTTAAAGACCCTCCCCAGCACCGACCAGCAATGTGTCCTCTGCGGCCACAGTTGGTGCAGGGGACGGCCCCTCTACCGGTCTCCCTAAGAGCAGCACCTCCGAGCTCCATAGGGGGATGGAATGGACGGCCCCTGATCCGGACATCCGCGGGTGGCCAACAGGTTGTCCAGCCTGAATGACATATCCACCAGTTGGTCCAGGTTAAGGTTGGTGTCCCTGCAGGCCAGTTCCCGACGAACGTCCTCCCTTAGGCTGCATTGGTAGTGGTCGATAAGGGCCTTCTCATTCCATCCTGCGCTGGCAGCCAGAGTCCTAAAGTCCGGGTGCAAAATCCTGTGCACTCCTCTTCCCATGTCTGAGGTGGAATAGACGTTTGCCCGCCGCTCTCCCCTCCGGTGGATGATCGAATACCGCCCGAAAGCGGCGGGTAAACTCCTCATAACGTACAGATGCTGCGTCTATTCCTCCCCACTCGGCGTTGACCCACTCGAGCGCTTTCCCGGACAGACAGGAGATGAGGGCGGACACGCTCTCGTATCCCGAGGGAGCCAGGTGGATGGTTGCCAGGTATAGCTCTACCTGGAGCAGAAAACCCTGACATCCGGCAGCTGTACCGTCGTATGCCCTCGGGAGCGAGAGCCGAATCCCACTGGACCCAGGTGGTGAAAAGGTGGACAGCGGTGTAGGTGGTGGTGTAGTTGGAGGAGGAATAGGAAAACCTCCTCTCTCCCATCGCTCCATAGTATTCACCACGCGTTCCGTTGCGGTGCCGAGAGCCTGGATCATGGTCGCTTGTTGTTGGACGCGTTCCTCCATCGATCCGGCTGGCATGGTTGTACCTGCTGACTCCATATTTGGTGCATGTTTCTGTCAAGGCGTCAGTGTAATGCAGTAGGACGAAGTCAGGCGCAGGACACAGAGCTAATCGAAAAATGTACTTTACTCGTAGGTATCTTAATGAACATACCTCCACGCAGGGAGGAACAAACCCGCTCACGTACGACAACCAAAACATGAACAAACACGCACACCACACAGTGTGAGCCAGAGGGTTAAATAGGGAAGACATAATTACATGATGGGAAACAGGTGAGACCAATACAGACAAAACAAGTAGAACATAGAAACATGGATCGGTAGCAGCTAGTACTCCGGTGACGACGAACGCCGAAACCTGCCCGAGCAAGGAGGAGGGGCAGCCTCGGCTGAATTCGTGACAAGTGTCCTTCACTTTGTGTGCCGATAGCAGTTTTGTTATCAATATCTGTTTAGTCGTCAGACATTGCTGCATTGTTTTTTGTGCATTTATGTGTCTGGGATAGAGAGTCCAGTGAGACTGACTGAAAGGCTGCTTGGACCTGTCTGTATGTTAGCCAACATGGATTGACCAGCTCAGAGCAGCTCAGACTTGACCCCTTTGATTAGCTTTGTTTTATTGTCCTTTGCCCATCTCTGTCCTCTCCTCACAACAGAGCAACAAAAGCATATTTCTAGAATGAAAGGTATGCTCTGAAGTTCTAGCAAATTGTGTGTTGTCTACTGAATATTTGTGCAGTGCTTCCTCTGTCGTAGTTCCAGCCCCTGGCTGGACATCATTCAGTTTCATTACGCAATAATAAAGGCAATTTAGCCCCTTTTTCGTCCAAATAGTCCCTTCCTGTTTCAGTCCAATACCACGGATGGAGAGTACCCCATACAATACCATGATATCTTATTAAAAAATGACTTTTATATATAATTTGGTATCTCAAACTAAGTATTTTCATTGCCGTGGTATTTTTGTGTAATCTTGTTCATAATCATGTTTCACCATTAAAATTAATGTATATCATTTGCATAGTATGCTTGTGGATTATATGGGGTAAACTGGTTGCCCACCATTTATGTAGACCTAAAGTACAGTGCATCTACTACATTTTGACTAGTAGAACCCACTGTAGGGCTTCTCTTCCCTTTGACACAGCAATGTTGGCTTTTTCAGACCCCGCCCCAGAGAGGGACAAATCGCCTGATCCAGGACCTATAATTGGGGCAGAGAGGGAACAGAGCCAACACCCAGACATGGATGGCAAGAGGATGAGGTTCTCACAATCCCCCGTCTTGGGCCCACTGAACCAGCCCATCGTGCCAGTACGGGTAAGAAAACATTACGTTACTGTATAAAGAGAGGACAGTAGCCTGGTCCCAGATCTGTTTGAGCTGTATAGCCAACTCCTATGTTCGTGGTCATGCCAAACAATGACAACAACTACAGCTAAGAACACAAACCTATGAGTCCAGATGTTATGAGTTGTGCATAATTGTGTAAGGCCCAAAAACATTGTAATTAACTTTGTGCCTTTTTAAAATAATCTTCACAGGGCTTTTTTCATTTGATGCTGAGGAGTACACATGGCCACGGGAAGATGTTTAGGGCTGGGGGGGGGTTCTCCCCGTGCTGCTGATGGCTATTTTGGTCCGCTCATACAGGAGTAATAAAGGCCCAGTGTAGTACTTTTTTTTTTTTTTTTTTCTGATTTATCAGCACCCCTACTTCCTGCAGCCATGGGAGTAAATCAATATGCCTCACTGCCAATCGCTAATCTACTTTTACCCATATATTTGTCAGAACCCCTGTTTATTTTTAGATATGGCAAAAACCATGACTATGTTATTTTCAGAACACAGAGAAGTCCAAGGACTGGTACAAGAACATGTTCAAACAAATACACAGAATTCCAGGTAAGGGGATCATAATGAAAATCTAACTCACTGTTCTCGTGTGTGTTTGACTTGATGTTGACCTGCGTGTCAGTTGTTTCTGTCAAGCCGTTGTCTTTGTGAGTCTGTGAGTGTGTTCATTGCTGTCACGCTGTGTGTGTTTTGTGTCTCTGTCGCCTCGCTCAGAACCTGTTGAGGAAAACCCATACCGCCCCACCTACATATTCCCTGAATCCTATGATCCTAGGCAGATGAAAACCACAGGTACCCAGTAGCAATCATGGCTTCACTTCCTGACTTTACTAATCATGTATAATCCCTTCTTTATAATGCCCTTATTACTGCATTGACTCTGCTTTTGTTACTTACCATTGCCATGATAGAATTGAAAACGGGTCTGTAAATGGAGCACTTGATTGCTTAGCAAAACTAAGAGTGAGACTAATAGAAAACTACACTGCGAATTCACTTTAACTGTTGTCTGATATTTAACATTAATGCAAAAAATAACAATTTGCATTAACTAATCCATACAAAATAGATTGTAAGCTCTGCTCATGTTTTAAAATGTATATATTAATGTACAGATATTTCCTGGCAAGTCAAGTTCTTCCTGAACAAAAGATGCAGTACTGTAGCTAGATTGGGAACATTTGAGCCACTAGATGGTGCTCAAGTGCGTAGATTACAACAACCAAGCGCGACAGAGAGGCTCTGTATGTACTGTACAGGCAGTAGTAGACCACACGGCCTGTGTTCCATCTACAGTATATTATTAGCCTTTTTACACTAGACTAAATTCAATCGGGTCTAATCGGTGTAAAAACGCTCTATTTGTGTGTGCATGTGCATTCAGTTATTCTGTATTGACCCACTGAAATAATAGTTATTTAGCTGTTTGTACTATCTAACAGTTGACAGTTGTTTTTAAATCATAAATGCCAAGCATGTCTAATGTAGGCTTACATCCCCTTGCATGCAGTTTTGTACAGTATATATGTACTGTGTATAGATCTACTTCCTTTCCCTTTGTTTCTGCTCATGTCTGCTTCCAGGCAAGCTGATATGTCTAGTTATTCACTGAATCAATCAATCAATTGAGCAATAAATCAAATAGTTGATCGAAGAAAGTTTGTACGAAATGTGTAGACTATTCCGAAATTTCCAAGAACTGCATTACTTATTCATAAGGATGTTAATCGATTGGATCTGTTTATAGAGAAGTAATGCTTCTTCTGAAGTGTTTTGACTGACACAACCTATGAAAAGCACTCTATTTACAGTGTGTTTGAAGAAATATAATGTCTGAACTAATGGAATAAAGGACGTACTGTACTGGGCAATTACAGAAGAGGAAGAGACGCTTACTGTGCCCTTTGAAGAGCTGTACCCGGTTTTATAGCCTTATATTTGATATAAGGCTCTGGCTATACCCTGCGTTACAGCAGAAATGTATGAAATACATACTGTATCTATCAGCATAATGTATTTGAATTAACAATGAGTATTGATTTTCAGCCATCATGATTAGATGTTTATTTAAAAAAAAGCTGGCCTCTCCTGGAAAGCTATTGTTGTAGACGCATGGTCTGTAATCCCCCCCCCCCCCCCCCGAACATTTTGTTTTATACATGTTTTATTCTTAATCACACATCTGTTGTAGATATCTTAGAGCATGTGTTGAGGCAAGGTTAATCAACTGTACAAAACTGACACGTTAACGCAAGGTTTCCCAAACTCGGTCCCGAGTTGGTTATTTGAATCAGCTGTGTAGCGCTAGGGCAAAAAACTAAACGTGCTCCCGGGGGGCAGGACCTAGTTTGGGAAAGCCTGCGTTAAGGTGTCAGTCTTGTACAGTTGATTAATGTAGTAAACACATACTTGACCTTGCCATTCTACAAGTTCACTGCTTGTAACATTGCTATAATAAGCAGTTCACAGAATTCTGTCATTATAGTGTGGCACTGGTGCTACCAAAGCGACCTCTACTGGTTATATTGAGTATCTTAAATATGTAGCACCACTATAACAAGCTCATTAACAGATAATAGATTGGGTCACCCTTGATTAACACTGCATAGCATAGACCGTATACAAGTGGAACTGCCAGTGGATTGACCTAGTGTTTGTTATAATCTTGTAGCAGGCTAGTAAGTACATGTTTATAGTCAATAAATAATCATGTTTTTTCTCTCTCTTTCAGATGATGGTCACTCCCCCAACGGTTTTGTGGAAGATGGTGAGTTTTGGCAATTGTCATGCTCATAGATTGAGAAATTAATATAATATCTATATTGTGATCTCAGTAGCATGATCTTTGGATCTTGTTTAAATGTACTGTACAATCACATTCCCTACTCAGACACTTTACATTGACATTTTAGTCATTTAGCAGACGCTCTTATCCAGAGTGACTTACAGTTAGTGAGTGCATAAATGTTTCATACTGGCCCCCCGTGGGAATCGAACCCACAACCCTGGCGTTGCAAGCGCCATGCTCTACCAACTGAGATATAGGAGGGACTTAACACACTGAGAAAATATTTCAGATTATTTCAGTTTAAGCTAAACATTACAAGCTGCTTTCATAGCAGTGTCTGTTGTTCTTGTGTGTTTATTTTCAGTGAAAGGGGTCCCACGGTCAAAAAGTGCTGCTGAAGTTGACCATAGGTTGTCTATACCTGTGCCAACGCGGTCCTCTTCCCTCAAACCTTCCAAAAGGTAAGTCCTTTTCTATTGCTGCTTCCTTTTAACATGGAGAGTAGTATAGTGTATCCTCGAAGACCTCTTAACCCATTGAACTCACTCTTCATAATAAATGTGTTACCTCTGCAGAGCAGTTCACAAGGGGATGCATTTTTTGTAGCACTTTTAAGTGAGGGACTGTAATGAGATACAATAAGAGGTATACGATTATATTAATGTTTGGTGTGATAGTGAATATTTAATGAGGTACAGTATACATACACCACATAACATGTAACCTACACACTTGAATACATGCTTGTCAAACATTCAAGAATTCAACTTTTGTGTTTATATTAGATGTTTTTTTAGGAATTAGAATTAGACGAGTACAGAGCAGTACATCCTCACCTCTGACATTGAATCATGGTAACCTCCAGTTAGGTCCTCTCTAACCTCTACTAACTCATGTGCTTGTTGTCATACTAGATGTGACTAAACAGCCTCCTCACCCCTCCCCTTAATGTCAGTGCTGACAAAGAAAATCCACTCTCCTAGGCGTGTGGAGGAATGAGTGATGAATTAATTAAGGAAGACAGGTGATAGAGGATAAACTGTTGCTCACGGAAGCTGCGGATGGCGTGCCTGATTGGCTCGAGCGCCTTCCTTGGTATATACATGTTTCCTCTAGTTACCTCTAGCGTTTGAACCATCTGAGACCGCATTTGTGTTTGTTGACCGCTTGTGGAACACTCTCTGCTCTTTGACAATGACTTTTGTGTTTTACAAGTAACATGATGAAATACCTGGATTTCCCCACTACAATAAGCTGTTTGATCCGTAACTAACAGGTGTAATAGAAAGCATTTGTTTCAAACTTCCGTAAAAATATTAAATGCAACACTAGGCCCAGTTGTTTTAGTCTTTGCCCCCTTATTCCCAGTGGAACCAAAGTGGAATTCTATATCCTGAAGCAGATGACATTGACCACACCTTGTGGTGTATTCTCTCAGGAAATGCAGCTAGGGTCTTTGGTTCAGTCTAATTCGCTAGCATGATTTGATTCATGCCTTGACATGACGGTATATTTTATTATTTATAAAACATTTCATAAGACAGCGCTGATGGAGAGAGAGAGAACAAGAGGAAAAAGAGATGGGGAGTGGGAGGGGCATGAGCTTTACTGTATGGGAAAACGCTGTTGATGATGGAGCTGTCACCCAAAACACTAGCCCCAGTCGGTTGCCATGGAGACTGCTTGACTTGATAGGGATTTGCTCTCCCCTCCCTCCTGCAGGAACAAGTGGGAGCCCCCTGACAAAAAGGTAGACACCAGGAAGTACCGTGCCGAGCCCAAAAGCATCTTCGAGTACGAGCCGGGAAAATCGTCGGTGCTGAAACTGGAGAGAAAGGTACGACAGCCATGCGTCCAGTGCCACATGTGTGTTTCTGTGTTTGCCTCTGCAGTCTCTATACTACGAATGTTGTGTAAGCTGTTTCCCTCTAAGAGCTTAGGGTGGCTGCTTCACTAACAAGGGCAGCTCTAGTAGGCAATGTATGTGTAGACTGAATTTCCATGTGTACAACATTCCTAAAGGGGGATCCTATTACAATGACAGATGACCTAGCTGGCGGTGTGGAGGTATCACTTAGAAGCCATGGACATTGTCTTGCAGTGTTTCAACCAACGGCTTGAATTGGATTGAATCTGCTGGGAAAGGAGTCGGACACAGTACACAGTATAAGTGCAAATGCCTGTAAAAATATTAATAATGCAATGGATATTGTGACATCAGGCGATGTCCGTGAGGGGTCTCTTTTTTTATTAGCTTTGACAATATGAATACCGGTAGGTAGATCATTGTCCCAATACAGTGTGCGCTACCAGGGTTCAATTGAAATTATAGAATCAACTCCATCAAAGTGGAATTAAAGGCCCACTGTGATATTTACAGTCATTTTTTATGACATACACCCATTGATTCTTAAAGAGTATCACTCATAAATTCCTCATGAGATTCATTAAGGAGTAGGCCTTTAAATAAATGCTGCATATATGTTTAAGCTGACAGTTGGTTTAGCTAACAGCCTCTTTGTGTGGCTCATACAGAATATAATAGAGTTGCATCTCCTCTACAGTATAATAGTTATTTGATTATATCATAATGTAATCATTGTTTGTCTTTTATGGTAAGCTATTAGGGGTTATGATGCGGTTTTGGACCAATCCCAGTGGCACCACATACTGAACAGTAGAGAACAAGGCCTTGTTCATTCTGTCCATCATTGTCAGACAAACACTGCATGTGACGTGACAGTCTCTGTAACTACAGACCATGGTCAGTGGTTCTGTGTCAGGTTCCTGGCTGCATTAGCAGCGGACTATACAGTCTCTTATTTTCATTTAGCCTATTATACTGTAGCTGTAGTTCTGTGGATTATTGTATTTCTTATTCCCATTGTGGCTCAATGATTGATATAAACATATTAGGAAACTATTTATATTAACATTAAAATAAGTAAAATAATAATATTTCACAAATAGGAATACAAAGCAGATGGGACCTATGAAAGCATGTAGAATTACACTTGCGTATCTTCTCTTACACATATGCACACACTACACATTCCAGTTGAGTAAAATTCAGATGACTGCTTCATATTATTATATGTTATGTGCATTCTATGTCTTTATACATTTGAGAACAAATATGTATAAGATCCAAATTCCAAAATGTCCTTCTTTTTTTGCCTTGGATATTTCACCTGCACATAAAGAGAAATCTTTAGGAATTCTTTCTGATTGGGAACTCTTTTGTTTAGAAATTCATTATGTCGGGAATGTTGTCTGGATCACATCATAAATGTGTCATCTCCTCATCACCTGTGTCTGTAAATTCTGTGCTGTCTGAACTGTCTTCTCTTTGTCTTTCTCCTGCTTTCCTTGTTGCCATGCCTCTGTAGACTCAGGACATAAGTCCAGAAGATGTACATTTAGAGAATGAGCCTTGGTATAGATTCTTTTCAGAGATGGAGTTTGATAAAGCGGTAAGTGGTCAAAGTCTTAAAGTGACGGTGTATTTAAACAATGCACGTGGTAATAACATCCATGTTTAAATACCTAAACAAACTATGTCTGTCCGTAAGGACTACTCCAACAACTTTTGCAAACCTTTACTGAACATTAAACAAAACGTTATCCCCTCCTAAAACTCTCATAATGGGGCCTTACCTTGAGTTATTGCCTGCTATCACTTTTCCCAGCGCTAGGTACTCAATCAACTCTAGATATAGCTCTATCATTGTATATACAACACATTGTTATGTTTTTCTTTCTACTATCAGTCGGAAGTTGGTCTGTGGCAAAGAAATTCAGTTAATGGTCATTTTGTTATGCTATCATTGCTTGTTATTTTAATTTGGCAAGTTTTATAAATTGAAGACCAAGTCCATCACTTCAATAACCCATGGAAGTGTGCTGTCTTATATAAAACAATTCTGCTTCCATGCTGTATATCTTGGCGACTGCCCTTCATCTGTGAGGCTTGCTGAGTTTGGATTGTAATTTAGCTATATGAACTATGCTGGCAGCTGAGCATTGTATGACGACCTACAGTAGCAATGGATCCTGTCCGGTCATTAGATTATTTACATTTTTACACATTGTCCATTTGTAAGGCTAATTATATACCCAATACAATTCGGGTTAGGTGTCCTACTGCCACTGTATATGATGATAAAGAATAATTGATGAATGCCACAGCTGTTGTGGGTGCAGTAGGCAGTTGGCCATCTTTGCATTTTGTCCCTTACAACAGGATCCTCAAGGCTATGCCAACACTGGCACCATGCCCACTGTGCCATGTCATTAACTCAGCACCCATGTGGAACTTTTTTGTTGTTGCATTTATGGGCACCCTGCAAATGAGGACACATAACATACCCCAGAGGACTGGGCAAGGTGATTCAACTGTGGGTAACACTTTAGTTCAAGACTGTTATACCCTTTTCACACTATCATGCTGACCCGAACCGTATTGTGCTGGCTCGGATATCCTCCTTTCCAGTAGAGTCTCTGAAAACTATGGTAGATAAAAACAGGCCAGCACAATACGGCTTGGCTCTGATTGGCTCAACCCTGTAGTGTGAAAAGAGTATTACAGTGCCCACACAATCATTACATGACAGCCCTTATTGAATCAAGGAGTGCTGTCTAGTCTGGTTTACAGTGCATTCATAAGTATTCAGACCCCTTGACTTTTTCCACATTTTGTTACGTTACAGCCTTCTTTTAAAATGGATTAAATGGTTTTTTTCCCCTCATCAATCTACACACATACCTCATAATGACAAACCAAAAACAGGTTTCTAGTATTTTTTGCAAATGTAGTAAAAAATTAAATATCACATTTACATAAGTATTAGGACCCTTTACTCAGTACTTTGTTGAAGCACCATTGGCAGCGATACTTTGTTGAAGCACCATTGGCAGCGATCACAACCTCAAGTCTTCTTGGGTATGACGCTACAAGCTTGACACACCTGTATTTGGGGAGTTTCTCCCATTCTTCTCTGCAGATCTTCTCAAGTTCTGTCAGGTTGGATGGGGAGCGTCGCTGCACAGCTACTTTCAGGTCTCTCCAGAGATGTACGATCGGGTTGAAGTCAAGGCTCTGGCTGGGCCACTCAAGGACATTCAGAGACTTGTCCTGAAGCTACTCCTGCGTTGTCTTGACTGTGTGCTTAGGGTCGTTGTTCTGTTGGAAGGTGAACCTTCGCCCCAGTCTGAGGTCCTGAGAGCTCTGGAGCAGGTTTCCATCAAGGATCTCTCTGTATCTCTCTGTTCATCTTTCTCGATCCTCGATCCTGACTACTCTCTCAGTCTCTGCCGCTGAAAAACATCCCCACAGCATGATGCTGCCACCACCATGCTTCACCGTAGGAATGGTGCCAGGTTTCCTCCAGACTTGAAGCTTGGCATTCAGGCCAAAGAGTTCAATCTGAGTTTCATCAGACCAGAGATACTTGTTTCTC